AGACCTGAAAGGTTTGAAGCCCCCCCCAAACTAAACACATGCATTACTTTGAGCTTTGTGCTCCGTTCAACAGGACGGGACGGTGATCATCCACACTGTGCGCCGGGGTCAATACATGCGCTGCTTGCGTCCACCGTGCGACAGCTCGCTGCCGCTCTCTATCCTCCACCTGGCTGTGTCCTGGGAGGGTCACATGCTGGTTCATACCTGTCTGGAGGGCAAAGCAACACTCAAGGTGTGTGCACATTTTAAGTTTTTAGGCTAACACACAATCTAAAAGGTGGGTAGGACTCTCTGCACATCTCTACGTGTCTGTTTGTTTTGTTTTGTTATCCACAGTGACCAGATCCTTGTCTCTGACAGTCAGAGCAGGCCAAAAAGCTATAAGCTGACTCAGACCTCTACATTTAAATAAATATAAACTAATAATTACAACACAGTGCACGTGAAACGCAGAACAAGCCACCATGGAACAGACCTAATCTGACCAGCAGACACTTAAAGATCACATTGATAACTGGGCTTAGACTAGTAAGTATGCGCACAGGTGAGCAGAAGGGAGCGTGAGAAATGCAGCGTTTCAAGGGCATATGTGCTTATATGTTGGTGTATAGTCAGACTTCTTTTAGATTAAATCTGAATTCAGATATATAAACTCCTTTGATCTGCAGTTAAAGTTTTAAATGTTCTTCTGTTCCCCCCTCTTGCCAGGATAAAAACGCCCTCCACCTGTACTCTGTAAATGGGAAGCACCTCTGCAGCGAGCCTCTGATGGAGCAGGTGACAGACATGTGTGTTTCTGGGGAGTATGTAGTCATCGGCAGCGAGCAGGGATACCTGTCCATCCGTGACCTCTACAGGTAAACTTATAGAAACAATATTGGTGATTTTGAATCAACATTAGCTGTTGGTATTTGGCTCTTCCACCAGTTGTTCTGTTTTATAAAGCCTTTCATCGAAAGCTTTGAAGAGTAGAGGCCTTTGTGCTTTAACGTTTTAACTGTTTCGGAGCATAACGAGCGACACCGTCCCAAATAAAAATTGCTCGCTGGCAGCTGCGCGTCCTACATGCATGGAAAGGTTACAGATATTAACCTCGAGCTTGTTTCTCCTCCGCAGCCTGTCTCTGTGCGGAGAGCCCATGGCCATGAGGGTGCCAGTGTGCTGCGTCTCAGCCACCAAGGAGCAGAGCCATGTGCTGGTGGGACTGGAGGACGGCAAGCTGATCATCGTGGCCGTGGGCAAGCCGGCGGAGGTAAAGAACTCGCTGCGGAACTACATCGCTCAAAGCCTTGAGGGATCGCCGCTCATGGCGTCCCCCCTACTGGCCCCGCTCCGCGCTCGTTCACCAACACGCCTGCTCCACCAACGTGACCAACTGGTGTTCAGCCCCACCTCCACCTCCCACAAACCTTAGCAAGCTCTAGTGCTGTTCATCCCCTATAACACTTTTATTGCTATAGATTTAACACACACACACACACACACACACACACACACACACACACACACACACACACACACACACACACACACACACACACAAGACCTGCTGCACATATACCCCACGTTGACCTTTTAACCCACAGTCACCTGTTCTTCTCAGGGATGGCTGTCTCACACAGTCATATGGCTTCCTCACAAAACAACTACACAGGCACACAAACACATCTGAGCCACATTCCTTCAGCCACTAGAACCACAACTGTGAAATCGAAGCGACTTCTTGTGTGCACCTCATTCTGTGTTTTTGTTTCTGTTTTGTTTTTTCGAATACTCGACATCTGTGCAAAACTCCATCCGATGCTGTCTACCTGAAGTGTCATTACATTCTGTGTTTTGAGTGTGCTCTACGGACTATAACAAAAAATGCTGTGAAACAGACTAATTAACGATTCTGCAAACTCAAGCCATATTTACAGTGTAGCTACAATCGAATAATCACTAATCCTGTGCCACACTGGCTTAATATGATCATGTAAATAGTGTGTTAGCACACATGTAGGAGGTTGATCCAGACAGTCCCCCTTGGAATCACTGCGCCTTCCAGTTTTTTATCTTTTCCATTCAAATTGACTCGCACCAAAGTGACTCGAGCTTTGATTTGTTTTTCTTTGTTTGCCTCACTAGTCATTTAAGCTCCAATGAACTAATCGATCACTCATGAATCATGTTACCCCCTCACCCCCCTCCCCCTGTTTCCTTTGACTTCACGCTTTTCTTTCCCCACTCTCCCCCCCCTTCCTCCGCCTCACTTCTTCCACCTCCTCCTCCACTCTTCCCAGATGCGTTCGGGCCAGATCACACGGAAGCTGTGGGGTTCCAGCAAGAGACTGACTCAGATCTCCTCGGGGGAGACGGTGTACAACACCCAGCAAGACCACAACTGACCCGTTCCCCGCCTGTCCCCCGAGCCTTTAAACCATCCCCTTCAAGCACGTCGCACATTGTCATTTCATATCCGAGCAGATTCTTTCTCCCATCACCTCCCACGGTTTTATCAGGGGGTAGGTTTTGGGGTGCAGGAGCACCACAAAGCCTGCATGCCCACATGTGCATTTGAGTGCTCTTGCTTTAGATTGTGATCGCATGGCGCTGGCGCCGTGGTTCCAATGCAGAAGTAGCGCCAGCCTCAGCAAAACCACACCACTGCCCACTTCTCGCACACGCCACAGCTGCCCTCGTCATCAGAATCTTTACTACAGTCAGCCTCATTTAACGGTTAACTAACTGTTCTCTTGTATGTATGCAGGGATGGATGTGTGTTTGCACACAGTTTTGCTGTGTGCTATTTAAAAATATTGTTTCAAGTGGCCTTTTTGCTCCCCCACCCCCTCAGTTAGCCTTAGGTGCAGACACTCGGCCTGTGATCTGCAGGCCAGGACGATTCATGGTTGCCTCAAAGCTGCCACCACGCAGCCTTATGCAGTAAGACGGCTCTACCACTCACAAGACCAAACTGTCTGCATTTTTCTATCGTTTTTATATACCCGTGTGTGTGTGTGATCTTTTAGTGATGTTTTATTGGGAGTTTGGTTTATGTGTGTGTATGTCTGTGTGCGTGCGCATGCCCAGCAGCTTGGCATCTGTTCATATGCATGGCATTTTGGTTTTGAGATTAGACAAGAAATAGTGATGCAGAAGTCAGTCAGTTTTTTGTTTGTTTGTTTTTTCGTTTTTACATTTGGGGTGTAGCTGACGTTTTTGTTGAGAAACATCAGAAAAGGTACTTTTTGTAGTCCCCCCTCCCCTTTCCCAAGTGTAACTAACAGTTTCACCACTAGGTGGCAGTGTTTTTACCAAACATTATAATTTTAACATTGATATTAACATGATGCACCGTTTCCTCAAGAGGCATTGCCTGGTTAAACGATAAAATAATGACTCGCTTCATCACCTCGTGGGAAAATTGGTTGATATCTCGTGTAAACAAATCCATTCACATTCTGTTGGATGCTTCAGTTAATTTTTGTTGACGGGATTTTACAAAAAGTACTTTTAATGTTTTGTCATTAGCATATCATTTAAGATCTAGTTTTGTAAATAAAAATAAAAAACACTACATTCTCAATCACAACAAGCTTTGACATGAAGACTTATCACAGCAGTGCAACGAAAAACGACTAACGTCACGTTTCTCTGTGCTTCATTGAATGTTTTTAAGTTACTTGAATCTGTTTCTATCCATAAGTGAAAGTAGCAGTTTTTTTCACACATTGTCTCATGAGTGACATATTTAAAAACTATTCTAACTGTTTAGAAATGAAGGAGAAAGCAGAAATCCTTAAGGGCTTTACGAGATGTCAGTGTTATCAGCAATACAGCTCCTTCATCGCATGCCTGTCGGTGCTTCCTTTCCTCTATTTCTGTCCAGCATGCCTCGCTCAGTCAGATCCTCTATTTTCCAGTCTTCCTATGGCTAAACTGGGACTGTAAATGGACTCCCTCTCTTCCCCTTCTGAATGCCTTTAGCTCTCATCATTGCCTCAAACCCCATCTCTCTTTTATTATTTGTGCTTCTCGCTCGTTTTCCTGTTTATTTTAAAGTGACTGATTTCAGAGTTTTCCTTGTGTGGGGCCTCAAGAATGTTTGGGTCATCTGGGACAAACATGCATGTGAATGTGATTGCATTACTCTGTAATATACCGCAGTATGAAACTGCTGTGTGATTCATAATTTTACACCATACCTGAGCGAGTGAGTGTGCGAGTGAGAGTTTATTTTCCATTGCCAAATGTTTTTTTTATTCCTGTCTGATTCTGTGAACTTTTGCAGCCCTGTGGGTTTGGCACTGGGCACAGAGTCGCTCTAACGGTTATCTCTCGTTTTTTTGGTTTTTTTTCTTCTGATTTTTGTATTTTGTTTTATTTAAATGTCAGTTTGGTGGATTGCAAAGACCAATCTGTGTCCTCCTTTAAGAGATTTCTGTGAAAGGTGCACAAAATGTTCTATTAATGCAGTTTATTTTTCTTTTGTTTATTCACATTTTTCATTCAAAGACCACTGTTTGAGTTATTCCACGACTGCAACAGAGTGCCTTTTATCCCAGCGTGGTGTCCACATAGAGCTAGATTTCTCCTTCTCCTTCGTCCCAAACTTTGTTGTGAATCAAGTGAAAGCAGCATTCCACACTTTAGTTCGTCGCAGTTGCACCGGGAACCAAGAATATGGGACTTCCAAGAAAAATCAAAGTACTATTTTGTGTCTTAGCTACATTCTCTGTAACTGTCACCAAAATGGATGTGTGTATATCTGTGATTATTTATGAATACAGTATATAATGTACAGCATGATTTTTATTTTGGCGTCGTTAAAATGTACTTTTGCACTTTCCAGGTACTAAATTGTAACAGATTGTTTTAACTTTGCTCCCTAATCTGTAAAAACTGCTTTGTATAAACAAGTGGAAAATAATCATTAAAGTCTTGTCTAAATTCAAAGGACTTTTTACTCATTTCTTAGGGAATAAACTTATAGGAAGAAGAAACGCACAGATGAGTAATATGCTGTGTTTTTATTCAAGAATGCACAATCAGCTTGTGGCAGGGAACACGAAGGTATCGTAGGAAATGATACCCGCGAGCCCGTCTCACGTTGCTTCTTTGCGATTTCTCTTACGTAGGAATCATGTACGTACAGATGGACGCTCTCTTCAGATCACAGTTGGCAGTAGTCCACCGGCTGTTGTCTGCAGTGTGGATAGGAAAAGGATCATAGTAGATTAGTCCAGCAGGATAAAGATAATCCCAGTTTTTTTATTAGGTGTCTTATCAATTTTATGTGACACAGACAGTACTCTATAAAGCTTTGTTTAAAAGGTGCTTTTATGACACATGCCTCACAAAAGGAACCCTTGTCTAATATAGCACTCATGACTGAGATGAATAAGAAGATCAGGCATTTTAGTTGGCAAACTATTATTATTTTTAAGTCTCTTACAATTTGAGGCGGGAAAAGTTATAATATAGAACCACTGCCTTTCAGTGGTAGAATCCATAATTCAAACGCTGCTCAAAAAAATGAAATGAACACTCCTTAATCAAGTCAGCTAAACGTTTGGTCTGGTCAGTTCGGTAGCAGAGGGGCTTGTTAATCAGCTTCAACTGCTTGGTGTTTAACAACAACGGCAACAATGAAACAACTGCTAAAAAAGGAATGTTTTCACAGCTGGAGACCACTGATGGTTTTTTTACTATTTTTCACTAGTTTTGCATTTAGCTAGGCTCAGTGTCACTACAGCTAGAATTAGGTGAGACCCTACAGAGGTTGAACAGGCAGTCCAATTCCTCCAGGATGGCCCATCAATCACGCCATTGCCGGAAGGCTTGGTGTGTCTCCCAGCACAGTCTGAAGCATGGACGAGATTTCAGGAGACAGACAGTTACTCTAGGAGGGCTGGACAGGGCAGGAGAAGGCCATTACCCCTTAAGAAAGACTGATATCTGCTCTTTTGTGAAGGAGGAATGGCATGAGCACTGTTAGAGCTACAAAATGACCTCCAGCAGGTCACTGGTGTAAATGTCTCTGTCCAAACAATCACAAACGGACTTCATGAGGGTGGTCTAATGGCCTGACGTCCTTTAGTGGACCCCGGTCACTCCTCAGCACCATGGAGCCTGATTGATATTTGCCACAAAATTCCAGAATTGGCAGATCCGCCACTGGTGCCCTGTGTTTTTCACAGATGAAACCCTGAGCACATGTGACATATGTGAAAGCGCCTGGAGAACGTTGCTGTAACATCATTCTGAATGACAAGTTTGGTGGTGGGTCGAGAGAGGCACACAGACCACACAGACTTGGCAAAGGCACCCTGACTGCCATTACAGGTTAGGATGAAATACTTGGATCCACTGTCAGATCTATACTGGTGCATTGGGTCCTGGATTCCTCCTGGCCTGTGATGAGAGTATGCAGGCAGTTCTGCATACTCTCACTTGCCTGACCTAAATCCGACAGAACACCGTGGGGACTTTATGTTTTCATCCATTAGATGCTGCCAGGTTGTACCTAAGGCTGTCCAGGAGCTCAGTCATACCCAGCCCCCAAATGTCATCTCATTAAGAGCATTTCCCTAGCATTGTCAGGTATGCTTACAAGCCAATACAAACTACAGATTGCCGTTCTGAGGTACTGCAATTAATTACTTTGATATTTTGGTGTGGCTTTGAATTTAGCCCCCTGTAGGTTGGTAATTTTCAATTCCATGAAACGACGTGCATCCCTTCATTCCTAACACATTAACCAGTCCATATCAGTATAGATCTAATCTTATCTGATGTGTTACCAAAGTGTTGCTTTAATTTTTTTGAGCAGTGTATAAAACAGTACTGTACTTTTGCAAGCAGGCTATTAAAGCATAAAACGGCAATATCGAGGTCTAAAGTTCAATGCCATTACCTAACAACTCACACCAAATTAAGTGAGGCTGTAGCTACAACACAAAAGTGCTGTATTATGGTGGGGTCTTTATCTTACAACATAAAGAGCCTTCAAGGCAACTGTTGCTGCAATCTGGCGCTATAAAAATAAAACTGAATTGAATTTAAAGCAGAGGTGTTTCAAAGTCTGGAAAATGCTGGAATAAATTAGTAATTAGTGTGAGAGTAGCGTGGTTCTTACCTAGCTCAAACATCTCCACACAGACAGGTTTGTCAGTGTGAATGTTGGGGTGGCCTGGCATCCAGTCGCTAAAACCCCACTCTGACCCGTCCACCCATGACGCCTCTTGGTTCTGTGGAGTGCAGAATACATATGAAAGGTTAAAACAAAATGTAGTCTTAAATAACCCAATTGTTTGTAAACTGTCAATAAAAATAAAATGTTAGCATATGAGACCCTTTCTATGAAGAAAAGTATGGCTAATATGACCATATTACCACTTCACTTGTTTTAAAACATCACTTAGTCACAGGACACAACAATTGCAATACTTTAAGATAAAAGTTTGAAGGTCAATGTCTCATCAAGGTAAGAATAACACTATCAGTCCTGCTGATAAGATATCTGATGACACTCTCCTTGGCCTCCATTCATTGACACAGCTCATGACCAGACTGCTGGCATTACAGCCACTAAGAACTGGAGTAAAATTGTGGTATAAGTAAGTAGAGAACACCCTGAAAAACACACTGTTGTTTAGGCACCACATGTTTTGAGAAAACCTTATATACCTATATAGGTCGCCAATTAACATGATAAACTTGCCGTGACTGTGGCTCCCAGCCAGGTTAGCACAGGGCTCTTCTTACCACCCTTGGTCACCAGGGAAATCAGATGGGAATGCAGATCACCACTGGTTACAGAAGCAAGCTCGGCATGTGGGGCAAGAGTTCTGCATTTGGCCTGTAGATTGAGAAACATTTAATTTACATCCTTTAAATGAACAGGGGATTAGCTTTTTATATGTTTTTGGAATGGTACATAGTCTAACCTGAGCATCCTTGAAGGACAGCGGTGTAGGGTTGAACTCATAGCACTTGTTGTTGATAATCTCCCCCTGACATGCCACTTTTGCTCTTTGGATGAAGCTGTAAAAGGGCTCGGTTCCCTGTCTGAAGCCTCTTTGGAGAGGCAGAAATGGTTCGGTTCCCTG